CGTGCCTATCCAGGTCAGCCCTGCAGCCCCACAGCCTGGAACAGCCTCTGAGAACGGAGCCACCGCCAAAGCCCAGGCGTAATGGGAGGGGAACCGATGGCCCGCGGCAGGACCGGAGCAGACAGCAGCAAGTCTTGGGTTTTAGCCCAGACAAGCTCCATCAGCAATGATGTCATTTTTTTCACTATACTGGAATGTTTTTGTATCCAATAAAAATACTTTTGCATAGAACCTGCTTGTGTTCTCTTGGTGTTGACTGGTGGGGAGGGCTGGGCTCTGGTCTCTGCTCTTGATGCCATGGGAGCTGGATGCACAGGGAGGGAAGAACCTCTCTTGGTGCCTCTGGGCAGCACAAAATGGGGCCACCAGTGGACCTAGAGGGAGGGAAGGGATCTGTGAGCACTGGGCTGCTCATGGCAGGGGCCAGGAAGCTCCCAAGCAGGGAGGGGCAGCCCCGCTCACCTGTACCAGAGCAGAGGCTGCTCTCCCAGGGAGCAGGCAGGCTGCCCTCACTCCCTCCTCATGCTCCTGTCAGCATCTGCACCAGCTCCACAGCCCCTTGCTCCCTGGCCAATGCCACAAATGGGAAAAGCACCATGCTGGACAGCCTGGCTGGCTGCAGGGTACCCCTGTCGTAGCCACACTTTCCCATGCCCCAGCTTGGAAAGGGGCTCACTGGAGCCCCCCCTGAGATCCAGCAGCAGGGAGGGTGAAGCCATGTCCAGGCACTGCGTGTAACCACCATAAACACCCATGCTCAGGCCCAGGCAGGCAGCAGGTATGCAGGCAGGCACGCCTGTTTGTGCTAAAGCTGCTCCCAGCTCGGACAGCCCTTCCCATGGCAGCACAGCACGAGCAGCGAGGAGGCTTTGCCGCCAGCAACAGCAGCAGGACCCCAGGCCTGATACCCAGTCCCTGCTCAGGCAGCAGAGTGCCTTCCCTTAGGGCATCGCAGGCTCCTTCACAGAGATGGAGACCTAAAGTCCTGGAAGGAGCCAGAAATGAAGCCCTACCAACCAGGAACCAGGTAAAAGAAGCCAGGTGCAACCGCACCTCACATTGTGCTCACAAGTTTCTTCAGAGTTGGGCTAAGGAAAGCCCTTCTCCAACAGGTCCCTCTGCTGTCTGGGGAAACCAGCAGCACCAGTCCAAACCACACTGCAAGCAATGAGACCCGAGATGTCCCACAGCAGTCCTGAGCTCCTCTGGCAGATGAGCAGCCAGGCTCCCTTGCAGCATGGAAACAAGCAGCACCCATGGCACCAGATGAACAAAGCCCATTTGAGGCTGCTGGAGCCCACACACCACAGGCAGCCTGTGCTCCAGCCAGATGTTGGGAACTCC